CAAAATGTTCTAAATTTTTTCTCTTCCCAAAAGTGATTACTACTAAAGTAAATTAATTACTTAAATTATTAACGAGTTGGCCACAACAGTGCTCTATTGCTAATACAATCTAGTACATACTAAAAACAAGGTTGGTCCTGCAAGTGTACTACAATACACAAGAAACCTACCTGATCGTATACATTTAAGAAGCACCATTATTGTTATGAACATTTGAAGGAGGAAGTCATGTGAGTTTGTGATGGAGCAGCTAAAAGGGGTTGAGCAGGAGCTCAATCTATTTTTCTTTATGTGTGTGTCGGCATGTAAGAACAAAAAAGCACAGCGTCACTGAAACCAACCATAACAAAAAGTTATTCGCCGTGAGGCAGCATTTGGGGGAACCTCCCCTTACTCTACACCCTACCCAAAAACAATAAAATAGAAAATGCCAGCTCAATTCACCCACCTCACTAATTTTCTCGGGGAAGAGGAGGGATCTATGAAGCATCAAAGAATTCTTGTGACCAAGAACTTTTTATAGACCTCCTCTACCTTTCGGTGAATGTGTTTGTATAGTATCATTTGATTATTCTGGTTCTTGCGGCAAATAATGCTTTATAGTGTGAATCTCGAGTGATTGGGTATGATTGGTACATTTTTTTTTAACAATAATTGTCTGATTAAGATGTTTAAAATCCTGGATGAATCTTAACATATAGAAGAAAGTTGTACATTTTTATTTTTAATTAATTTTTTATATACTTTATTAATTTTAATTAATAATTTTTTATATTTTTAAGATAATAAAAAATGAAAAAACCTAAACTACAACATAATACAACATTAACAAACGAGACCTATATTATTTTTTATTATAAATTAAGTTTTAAACTTATAATTAAGAGTACATATAACTTTAACACAAAACTATATGACAAACAAAACTATATGACAAATAATAGCTACTTATGTTATTGACAAAAATCAACACATTTTGGGCAAAATAGATAATTTGGATTAAGTAAGCATTTGGTCTTGCATTATGAACTATTTTAGATGGTAAAACCCGAATCATTGGATGGGGGAAGCCTACACTAATATCAAGGGATCCATTCCCATGGTTAACTTTTTATTGTTCAAACAAAACTATAAATGGTTATATTTATTATAATTTTTTAGATAAAAATAATTATCTTTAAAAATTAAAATACAAATGGATAAATCTCAACCATCATAGTAAAGAGATAAATGATCTAGATTTTATGTAAATAGGTCCTAATTCTATTTTAACAAAAAGTAAAAAAAAAAAAAAGAAAAAAAAAGAAAAAAGAAGAGACTAAAGTTATGTTTAGGAGTCTTGTGATATTAGGTTTTTCAGTTTTTTACTGTAAGAAAAATTAAGTTATTGTTTGATAATTATTTTGAAAAAATTTTATACATTAGTATAACTATAAAATTATATAAAATATTCATTAAAATTAATTTAATTATAATAAATTAATATTTTTATAAAATACTATAAGAGAAAGCATCCCAAAAAAATATTGCAAACACAACCTAAATCTGTGTAGTAACTGTATAGGAATAGGACTGATAATTTCTGCTTTTTATTGATTCTTTGAGATTTGAATGCCCTTTTGCATCTCTGTAAAAGTGTAAAGCATCACAGGAATGCAAATGGCCCAGTAAGGCACAGTAAGGAAGAGCTTTTCAGGGTCTCGAGTCAGCCTTACAGAAACTAGGGCTTGTTTGGTTAATTAAAATTTTTGAATTTTCTTTAAAAAGGTAATAATATGCACATAACTTATTTTTACAACTTTCCTTTATAATTTTTATATATAATTTAATAAATTGATACATATAATATTATAATTTTTAAAAAAGTTGCCGACTCCAAATAGTTCATATATTACAATTCAATGGAATAAACACCCAACAATAATTTGTAAGGCAATATCTTCCTAGAGCAACAGTTTACTAACCAAACAGACCCTAAAGGCCTAAAAGCGTGAAGAAATCTATAAGGTGCAATTCTAAGAAAATGAAAAATCTTTAAAAAAAAAATAGGGTGGTGTTATAGATATAATTTTTTTATATAATTTTCACATGTTATTAAATAAATAGATGCATTTAATATCATAAATTTTATATAAATTAAAAGAACTAATCATTTAAATTATATGTTAGATTGTATAAAAAAATAAAAAAAAATTGTACAAAAACCATTTCCCAAAAAATTATTAGCCAAGGGAGTGAACAACAAGGGTCCCCCCTGGAAGGCAGGCTTGCTTCTAAGATATTAAAAATGCTTTAAAAGGGATGGAGCCCACTAACTAAAATATGGGTTGGCCCATAACTTATGTCTGTGCTTAGAATTCAGTTGGATCAACTTATACTTTTCCTTTTGGGCCAAAGGGTCCACTTATACCAACATCACAATAATTATAAATTAATTTCTTACTAAATATATACATTACATTATCTCTACCAACCAACAAAGTAAATAAAATATCTAATGGGACACACTAAAAAATGCATTATTGTACTACTCTTTTTTTGTTTTAGATTTTAAATTTTAGATTACACAGTTAGAAGCAAAGAAATACTCTTTCGTTACTTTAACTACTATACCCACATGCCATTTAATTTTCTGTTTTGTTTAGCTAATATAATACTCGATATATAGATTATAATTACATAAAAGGAAAAATCAAAATGTCTTGACATTAAAAGTATCAAATTGTCCAAAATAGTCACATGATAAATTTGATAAAATTATAGCCTATGTTATTAAATATATTTTTTTGTCATAAATGTACATAGAAAAATATAAAAATTAATATTAATTTTAATGTAATGTAAATTTAATTAAACAATTGATAAATTAAAAGATGACTCTTATTGTTTCAATACAAATTTATGATAAAAAAGTATATTTAATACATCTTAATGACACAAATCAAACAAACTTTATATTTAATAACTGTAATTAGATGTTATGTTATTTTTAATGCTATATCATATTAATTTTTCCTTTTTGCTTATTGCTTATTTTTAATAGTTTTTATTTCCTATGATTCACAACTTAATAAGTCGTCAGAAATCAACATATTCCTTAACCATTAAATCAAATTGAGAAGTTGTTGGTTTTTTTGCTTTTTTTAATCAATAAAACCAAACCGAAGTACTTAAGTGATTGACCATTATTGAACTTAGTTAAGCAATTATTTGATCTCTTCTAATTAACTTCAAGACTTCTCAATTTTTGCTGAAAGATACATATAAATTGTGGTTTGCAGGGTATCCTAAATATTGATTGTACCTGCTATCGATTCTATTCCACCTACTTAACTGATCTTGGATTTGATCTTTGTTTCCTGTTTATATAGGAAATAATTTGAAGAGAAGAAAATCTTAAGAATGAACGTATTTGTCAGAGAAAAATTATCAGTAATTCCTCCTTAGTTAAAAAATGCAAATGCAATAGAAACTACATATCATTAAAAAAAACCATGATATATTATGAGAAAATTACTGAAATGAAACCCTAGATCATGCTGAAAATTATAGAAGGTTCCTTGTGAGTTTTTCTAATTCCACCTCAACCTTGGTGCATAACAGCTGGAAAATGTTGTCTTGATAAGAGCCAATGATGTGGCACAAATACTCTAGAAAACCAAGACAAAAACAAAAACCAGAACTAATGACATCGTTTGCTCTCAATATCGTATGTTACTAACACATGAAAACCCATAATTGTATCCGGTTTGAGACTTGGAGTGAATCGGTATGCATTTATTTTTTTTTAATGTTTTAAAATTTGATAATGAAATGATGTTGATTTGAAGATTTAGTATAAAAAAATTCATTCATACATAAATTTTACATAATATATTTATATAAAATTTTAATTATGTATCTCTTCATTTTCAGTTATTGAGATTTATGACGATATTTTAAGTGAAAATAATAATTATTATTAATAAATATGAATACATTTTAATTATTGAAATTAAAAAAATAAATTATTAAGATTTTATATAAATATAATGCATAAAACTTATGTATAAGCGGATGTATTATGTAATTTGGTGTTGGTAAATACTATAACTCACATTTAAATGGGACAGGAAACATAGTAGTTTTCAACAAGACCAACTCAGATCACCAGGAGTACACAAATTATTTGCTATATAAATCGAAACCCTCATCTAAAGCACAAGTGAAGAACCATCAAGATCATATTCTTTGTTCTTCAATTGTTGTTTTTCATGTAGACATATACAAAAAGCAATTAAAACAAACCAAAACAACAAAACCATCCTGTAAAGTTCACCCATTATGAGGTCAGCGTACCCCAGCAAGAAACAATAGACAAGTTATTTTGAGACTTGAAACAAAGCAAAAATTCGAGTTCAGTCAAGTAGGTATAATAGAATCCAATAGCAGGTACATTCAAGATTCAGAACAGCCTGCCACCCACAATTTGTATCTATATCTTTCGGCAAAAGCTTTCTAATCCAGTAAACAGAAAAATAATCATGTTATTTTCCTGAAGAAAAATGTCTTTTCAATCTAGACGGCTTGAAAAAGAGCAAGTCTGAGTTATGAAACCACTTGGAGAAATTGTGGCTTGTACTAGCTTGCATTAATGAAGTCATAGACAATTGTGCATTGCAAAGAGATGGCAGATCAAGGTAGTAGATAATTGAGTGAAGACTTGACCTTGCAAGGAGTTGCAATATGCATTTTTCCTAGTGCATTTATTAGTATGTCTGCATATATCAATATTATAACACCCCCCTCAAACTCAAGATGGTGAAGAGGAAACCAACTTGAGTTTGGATAAAAGGGCATGGAAGTGTCCAAGGAAATGTGCCTTAGTAAAGAGATTTGCTGGCTGATCAACAAAGTCAATGTAGATTAAGTGAACGGTTCCTCAATTAACATGTTGGCAAATATAGTGACAATCGATCTCAATGTGTTTGGTACATTCATGAAAAACATCATTGTGAGCAATCTATATAGCACTTTGATTATCACAATAAAGATTTGTGGTAGAGGACTATGAAACACCTATATCCTCAAGAAGCCAACAGATCCAAAGAAGTTCTACCACAGTATTAGCTAAAGCCCTATATTTAGCCTCAGTGTTAGAGCGAGATACAAAAGTTTGTTTCTTGCTACGCCAAGAGATAAAAGAGTCTCTAAAAAAAAGGCAATAACCAATAGTTGTTTTACGATCAGTAGGATCACCAGCCCAATCAGCATCGAAATATGCACAAAGTACAAGTGAAGAATGAGCAGAAAAGTGGAGTCCATGAAATAGTGTTCCCTTGACATAACGAATAATGTGAAGTACAGTTGCATAATGAGTGAAGCGAGGGGAAGTCATAAATTGACTAACAATATGAACTGCATATGCTATGTCAGGGCGTGTTACAGTGAGATAAACCAAGCTCCCAACTAATTGTCGATACACAGTAGGATCTCTAAGTGGAGAACCATCCATGGGTGTAAGCCAAGCATTTGGTTCAAAAGGTGTCGAAGCAATCTTACTATCAATCAATCCAGCTTTAGAGATAAGATCAAATGCGTACTTTGCCTGAGAAAGAAGGCAGCCATCATCTGAAGAGGTGACCTCAAGTCCTAAAATATAACTTAAAGGACCAAGATCTTTCATCTCAAATTTTTGGTTAAGAAACTGGTTAAGCTCATGGATACTTGAAATATCATCTCCAATGCTAATCATATCATCAACATCAAGAAGTAAGAGAATCATTCCCTAAGCAATCTTACGAATAAACAAAGCAGCATCATATGGACTTGAGGAGAAACCAAACTCACTAATAGTTGCACTAAATTTTGCAAACCAGGCTCAAAGAGATTGCTTTAAGCCATATAATGCGCATCTCAATTTGCATACTTTATGTGGAGGATGATCAAGGCCAAGAGTGGTTTCATATAAACTTCCTCTGTTAGATCACCATTAAGAAATGCATTTTTACATCCATCTGAAATAATTTTCATTTTTGTCTACCAGTAATGGCAAGCAAACTGCGAATTGTAGTGAGGCAAGCAACAATTGGAGCAAATGTCTCCACATAGTCAATTCCACATTCATGTGTAAAGCCCTTAGCAACCAAATGTGCTTTATAGCGCTCCACAAATCCATTAGAACGTGTTTTGATTTTGTACACCCACTTGCATCCAACCAAAGTCTTATCAGTAGGCAGATCAACCAAGTCCCATGTACTTGTCTTTTCTAAAACCTGTAATTCATCTTGCATAGCTTGCTATCAAAGAGGATCAGAGGATGCCTCTTTATATGATTGAGGTTCATGTGAGGAAATAAAAGCAGAAAAACAATGGTAATCTTGAAGGTAGCTAGGAGGATTTCTTACCTGAGTAAGATGGTTTGAAGAAGAGGCAACATATATATTCTCAGCCTCAATAGTTTCTGGTGCAGTATCAACAGAAGGAAATTCATTTGGAGAAGGCATTGTAGTAGGTTGTTCATTTGTAAACTCACCAGAAATCCTTACATCATCCTTAGAGAATCATTCAAGAGATGGGTTAGTGAACAAAGGAGTTTGATAAGAGGAGGACACCTTAAAGTCTGAAAGAGAGGAGAACATAATATGTTCCCAAAAAACAACATGACGAGACACACGAAGTTTTTGTGACGCAGGATCCCAACAACGATAACCTTTATGTTGTATCCCATAACCCAAAAAACAACATAATCGAGCTCAAGGCTCCAACTTGTTATGTTCATGTGGAGGAAGAAGAACAAAACATGCACATCCAAAGACCTTAAGAAGATTATAAGTAGGGAGAACACCATGAAGACACTCATAGGGAGATTTGTTGTTGATGGCAGTAGAGGGGATACAATTTATGATATAAACAATTGTAAGAGTAGCTTCACCCCAAAAATGCTCAGGACAGGAGGATGAAAGTAGGAGAGCTCAAACTGAATCCAAGATATGTCGATGTTTACGTTCAACTCGTCCATTTTATTAGGAAGTATATGGACAAGATCTTTGTTGTATTGTACCCTACTCTTTAAGAAAATTTTGAAGCTTAGAGTCAAGATATTCTAGAGCATTATCAGTTCTTAAAACTTTGATTGTCTTAGAAAATTGAGTTTTAACCATATTAGTATAATCAATGTAAAGTTGGGGCAACTTAGAGCGTTTTTCCATCAAATATATCGAAGTGAAACCTGAATAATTATCAACAAAAATCACAAAATACTTTGAACCCCCCATAGTAGATACTGGTGAAGGACCCCACACATTAGAATGAATCAAATCAAAAGGTGCAACAGAAATAGAGTCACTTTTATTGAAAGACAAAACAAGTTGTTTAGCAACTTGACAAGAGACACAATGCAAAGAGTCTTCTTTAATAAAACCTAAATATCCATTAGAAAGTAAGGGATAGAGTTTACTAAGAGAAGCATGGCCAAGACGGAGATGCCACAAGTGTAAATAGGGGTTTGTTGAAGTAGCACATAACTAGGAAATGTGATTAGAAGGAATATGCAGAGAGGTGAGTTCAAATAAATGACCAACTCTACGACCTGTCCCAAGAATCTATCCTGTCTGCGGATCCAGCACCTAACAACCATGAGTAGAAAATATTAGCTCAAGACCAAGTTCACATAATTGTCCAACAAAGATAAGGTTAAAACTAATTTTAGGAATCAAAAAGGTGTTTGGTAAAGTAAGGGTAAAGGTGGAAATATGACCATGTTGACTAACTTGCATTTGTGAGCCATCAGCAGTATGAATTGGAGGTGCGGTTGTGTTTGGAGTCAATTTAGTGAAAAGATGAGAATGAGAGGTCATATGATTGCAACAACCAGAGTCAAAAGCCAAGAAGTATTACCTTGAACAATAGACAATGTAGTAGATGTACTAGGAGTAGAAGAAGAAAGCATTTGTCCAAAAAGAGTTTCTAGATTACCAATTGACATAATGGAGGTGGCATTTTCACTTGTAGCAGTTACAACTATCACGGGTTTATTAGACAAATCAGGCCTTGATTGATTCTTTCACTGATCAGATCTTTGAGAAAGTCAAGTGGGGCAATTAAAAGCAATGTGCCCTTTCTTCTTACATTTATGGAATTCAACAAGATTGCACTCATATAGAACATGTCCAGGCTTATTACAATGGCGACAAAACTTCTGTCCACCCTTCAAGGAATTCCTGTTCATAGTTGCTAGAACAATATCAACTTGTTGAGGTCTAAGTAGCTTCAAAAGAGTCTCATCAGATAGCAATCGAGATATTGCATTGTCTAGAGTAGGCAATGGAGATTGATGCAATAAAGAGGCTTTGCAAGGCTCATAATCATCAATAAGTGCCATAAGAAACTGAATTCATCTCATTCGATCACGATGCTGGGAATATTTCTCATGAGCAATGCTAGGGGTACTTGCTTTTCACACTCTCCGGTCAACACTTTCTCTTTTATTGGGCCACGTTATCTTGATTCCCGAGAAGTTGTGCCTGAAAGCTTTAAAGAAGCTTATGTGGCCCAATGAAAGGGGAAGTGTTGGTCGGAGAGTGCGAAAAGCGAGTACCCCTAGCATTGCTCTATTTCTCATTGTCAACAATGCAATCAAGTGTTGGTTCAGAAAGTGCGAGTTGATCCCAAATAGCTTCCATTTAGCATAAAAGCTAGTGATAGACTCATCGCGTTCTTGTTTCAAACTATGCAATTCTTCCCATAATTGATATTGACTTGACAAATCAGAAGTAGTGTACTTTTTTGCAAGCAGATCCCATACCTCCTTAGCAGTGTCATATCTCGCAAATTGGAGATTAATAGATGAAGTGGAGGTATTACGGAACCAAGTAATAATTTGGTGATTTTTGCTATCCCATTCCTCAAGGCGATCAACAAACTTGTCATCAGGTTCCTCAACACTTTTCTCAAAAAGCTTGATATCACCAGTAACATATTGCCATAATTTCCTTCCCTTTAAAAAACTACGCATGCCTTGAACCCAAAGCATGTAATTTGAACCATTAAGAAAAGTAGAGATAGGCTATGTAACATCGGGTTTCTCCATGATGGTGAAAAATAGGAAAATAAGTTCAAAAACAAAAGCTTTAGGAACTAGTCAAGTAGCAGAAAGGGCAAACCGAATTGTCCGATGAAGTCGACGTTCAAGCAGCAGAGTTAATGGCAGCTAAATTGGAGGAATCTATCACCCAATTGAGGAAGGAGCAACTGGAGACGCACGACTTTGAAGCTAGAAACTTAATGAAAGAGAGAGTTTCCTTTGCCTTGATGAAAACCAAGAACAGTGCTACAAGCACTGTCAAATTACATGACTGGAAGTGATGGAGAAAACTTGAACTATGGCTAGAATTTTGCCGGTGAAAGAGATAGTAAGCCAAAACAGGAGATGGATTTTGGATTGTGACCCAAAAATCCAAAAAAAAAAAAAAGATATAGTTGGGCAAAGAAGTCCAAGAACTTAATAAGGCTCTAATACCATGATAACTTTAAAGAATGAAAAATGTTTATTCATTTCTTGAACTCATCTTTTTTTTACATCTTGGTAAAGGCATATGTATATGTATACAAAAACAAGAAACCGGCTTTTATGTGAAACCACTTGGAGAAATTGCGCCTTGTACTAGCTTGCATTAATGAAGTTGTAGACAATTGTGCATTGCAAAGAGATGGCAGATCAAGGCAGTAGATAATTCAGTAAAGACTTGACCTTGCGGAGAGTTGCAGTATGCATTTTTCCTAGTGCATTTATTAGTATGTCTGCATATATCAATATTATAACAGTATGTATGTTCTTAAGTTCAAATTGGTAACATTTTTTTTTTTTTAATTTGTGAATGAACTGTAATTTATACAAAATAGTAACAACTTTTGAAATTGATAACATTTATTAAATTTCAGATTTTCAGTTCCTAAAATTTTATTTAAGAAGTTAGAAGCCATTTTGTCCTCTAAACTTTTTTAAAAGTTAGAAGTTCTATTTTTCAAAAGAAAATTTAGGTATAACCCAATTTCTACTTTTGCATCCAAGAAGTACAATAGTTCAACCCCAAAAAAATGAAGGGAGGAAAGGAAGTTGAAGAGCAGAGGAAAGAGAAGACAAAAAAAAACTCCTCAAATACATTTTTGCTACTGATTCTCCATTTTGTTCAAAAATCATCAGGGAAAAGTTCTTCCTTCAGTGAAGGAGCAATCCATTGTATTTGAATATAAGTTGTTTCCCACAGATCATCCCCTTCTTTCTGTACTAAAATTTCCTTCTCCTTCATTTTCATGATCATCTTCTTCAACAATTCTGGGACAACTTGTTGTAACTTCGTCTCTCCATATTGCCCCAAATCAGCCTTCATGCAAGTATCCATCCTCCTCAACACTCCTAACCAGAATGTCCGAAACCCTGGATTTTCTGCAATTTGCTTCAAGTACTGCAAGTACACATCTGCCAGTAACTCCATTGCAATCTTCAAAGTTCCCTCCATACTTCTCATCTCCCTCTCTGCGTTGTCTCGTCTTGAGTACTCAACCATCTTCTCATGCAAATCATCAACCATTGCAAAAACCACGAGGTTAAAGACATTGATGCAGTTAGTAGATGAAAAATCAAGTTCTTCGGCTAATGTAAAGCATTTTCTAAGGGATAAAACTGCATGGTTTCTTATCTCTTCTCTGCGTGCCAGGCTAGATTTTCGGAGTGCTTCACCTAGTTTGATGAACAAATTCATGGCAAAATTTAGAGATCCTGAACCTTTGTTGTCCTCCATGGAGGAAGTATTCACACTGCTTGTGACACTATAATTGCTTCCAGGCTCAGAACAAGCATTCTTATACCATTGGACTAAGGAATTCACAGAATCTGAAAGAAGGTCAAGTATCTTCATGTTCTTTTCCAGGGGACTGTTTTTCAATGCAACAAAACCAAATGCACAATCAATGCAGTAGGCATAGTTCATTCGGGAAAAATGGGTGTTATTGGATATCAACATGATTAGAGCTTCCACTGCCTGATCATAGTTTTCCTGGTGACGCCCGGTGACAGACAACAGATGAAGAACTGTTTTCCATCCCAAGTGGGTTTGAAGATTTTCTGGAAATTCTATGATGATCTTGCTTACAGACTCTGTTATGAATTCAGAACATGTGTCTAGAATTTCTTTGTCAAGCTTCCACATTAGATTTATGGATTTGAAGATGTTTTCTTCAGGAAGTTTATCTGCTTGGTATGAACTTAGGAGCTTCTGGCAAATCTTGAGAAGGCCTACAATTGCTTTTTCTGCAAATGGGATTGGAGAAAATAGAGGAAACTGGGCAACTCCGAGCAAATACTCATGGAAAGAAGGCCAAAAGGCTTGGAATTTGTTAATATTGGCTAAGGAAATACAGATGATCAAATCCCAACAAAACCCCACAGTTTCTTCTTCTTCAACTGCGGTACTAAACTTTTGACCTTTTCCAGCTGCTGCAAAAATCAAAGAACGCCCCAGATTTAGTAGAGCATCAGTTGGCAAATTGTAGCTGTTGCTGAAAATGTTTCCGATCTGGCACTGTTTGATTATCTTCAAATTCTGTTCAAATTCATTCATTCCAAGAGAGATTGAGTCTTCTGGACTCTCCAACGACAGAAAAGGAGAGAACCTACTGACTATGCCAGAAGACTGCCCCTTGCTGAACTTGAGATCATGATCGGGGAAAATGATGCCAGATTCTGATTCGAGTTGTGTCAAATTGTCAGAAGATGAGGCCGAGGCAGCGACGTTCAATTCAATGACAGATTGTGGAAGAAGTTTGAGCCTTTTGAGTTTAAGCATGCAGTCCACAATGTTCCTCCATCCTCCTCGAATCGATTCTCCGAAATTGTTGGCTATGGTGAAAACAGCAAGGGTAGCCATTCTCGGCTTCAAATCATTGCTGAAGGCAAAAAGGGTTTCTTCTGCTGTAGCGTAAGGATTCAAGAGGGTGGTAAATTTGCTAAACGAAGCAATGAGTTCATCTAGTATGTCTAGCAACCCAAATTGAGCAATTCTAGCTACGGAAATCAACCCTTCAATGCATTCATGGAGCATTTCGTCCTCATCAGCGTGCTCAAAGAAGGCGCAAAGGGCCGCGACTGATGGACCAGCAACACAAGCAAACATATCCCTCCCTAACCGACGATCAAAGTCTGAGACAATAAAAGGTTGCAATAATTTGCCCCGATTCATCAATTCAATCCATCTACTCGGATTCATCTCCACCTGTGAACCCGATTGCCCAAAAATTGTGATGGCATTGGTCGAGATGGATTGGAAAAGATCGGAAAGGTACTCTCTAGGAAGATCCTGACCGGTATTGATGCCTCTGTTGTTTCTTAAAAACTCTTCCTCTGTCATCTTTTTCTTGACTTGAGGATTGTGTTGATCAGTGTTGAGCATAATAACGGAATAACAGAGGATCATTACTGCATCCTTGCTGGAAAAGATTTCCGATGATTGTTGATCGTAGAATTTCTCCGAAAATGCTTCTAGGACTCGCTGGATCTTTTGAGACTCTCCGGGTAATCGGAACGTCTCCAAATAAAACCGAAGAGCAGAGTCAAGATTCATGCCAGTGAATTCAAAGGTTGCAGTGAATTCTTTGAGAACATCAATGTGGAACTCATCTGGGTCGCCTAGATATTCTCCGATGAAAGTCCTGTCAAGTCCTGGGGTGTACCGAAAGAAGAAGGCATAAACTCTTGGATCTGGTGATTCAGAGACCAACTTATTGAGCTTTAGGTACTCCAATCCCTTTTTCTCATCTCGGTTGAAATGATTTCCAGCAATCAGAATCTTCTTCTTCTGTACTTTTCTTACCCTTATATACTCCACCCAAGTTTCGAAGTCATCTTTTGGTTTTTCTTCAAAAAAGGGTCTGTACTCTGTAATTTCAACAGGGTATGGACCGGAAGTTCTTGAATCATCTTCTTTATCTATATATTCCGCAATGTTGTGAATCATGATGATCAATCCTTCGAAAGCTTGGATCTGTAAGCTAGTCAAATGACCATTACCTGGGAAGGAATTCTTGCACAGCAATTTCCCAAACTCTTCAAACACATTCCGAAAAATGGGATCGCAATCATAGTTAACATAAGCTTCAATGGTGAACGTTGATTGCCGGAAAAAATTTATGATTCCTTCTAAAGCAACCTCCTGGAGTTGCAAAGAACCTCCAAAAGCTGCAATTCTCAACAATACAAAGGAGAAAAAAGCCTCCAGTTGAAGACGTACGAACCTGAATACATTGGCAAAATAAACTTTTAAGGGTTCGTTTGGTTTGAACATCGGAAAAGAGTTAATAGCTGTTACTAGTGGAAAGAATAAGGATATTAGATGTCCCCTAAGGAACGTCCCAATAATTAAGAACTAGATACTTCATGTTGGAAATCTCAAATTCAAATTTTAAGATTGGAGGAGATAGATTTGAAGAGAGAAAAGTTATTTTTATTGTACAACTCATCATTTGATATATATTAAAAAAACAAGGATATTAGATATTCACTAACAACTAAAATGAATATGCCTAAGCTAATTTACTAGTAAACAAATGTTATTTTGTAGATTAGGTCTAGGTTTAAGTCTTTATATTTTTCATAAGTAATAAGTTTGAATCATACCTGCGAAGAAAATGATAAATATTCAAAACGGTGCTGCAAATCATAGATAATACAAGGGGACTCGAACAAGTTCCATAATGGATCAAGTGGTGAAATAGATCATCCTGAATCATCCTCAAGAGCTTGGGATGCTTTCCAATTACTTCTCCACTCAATTCTATTGCTGTGTTGATCAAAACCAAAGCGAAAAGCTGGACATCTTCATCAGCAGTCGACGATGTGGCACCGTCGTAGTCCCCAATTTCCATAACATTGAGCAAGGAACACAAGAAATGGAAAATATCAACCGCGCAGCGCAGGCCGTAGCCGGAGTCTCCATCAGCGTCATCGGTGTCGGACTCTGAATTCTCCCCTTCGTTAACGGCAATATCTGGTAAACGGGTGAAGACGATTCGAATCAATTCGTGCATTGTGTATCTCGCACTGCGTTGAAGCAAATCGCCTCTGTTCGCGCACTGTTGAACGACTTGAAAACACGTGTTGACAATGGTGCAGACGGTGTGGTTAGTGAGCAGAAACGAGGCGCTGTGCACCATGATTCCTCTGAGAACCTGTAAAATTTTCATCATTACGGCATCCTCCGAGGCAGTGTCTGTTTTCTCTAACCTACAGCTGGTGATTCCTGTCACTGCGTAATTAATAGCGTCTCTTGCTCCAGGGGTGTTTTCGTCAAAGCTTTCCATGGCAAGAATCTTGAGAATGGCGGATAGGGCAACAGCAGTGGCGGAGGCTGGAACGTCGTCGCTCTGTATGACATCGAGGAAGGGTGACAGATAGATAGATGGATCAATGCTCCGCCATTCCTGATGCGGATTAAAGATAAGGGCGCGGAGTGATTTCAGGGATTGTAAGAGGGTGGAATCAAAGTGGTCTTCTTGGGCGGAGATGTATTGGGAAGTGGGATCGGACGGCCGCCGGATGACGGCGAGGACGGCACCGACCTCTGTGTTGAGCATGCAGGAAACGGCTAGCTCTTTCCTCTTGGCTTTGTTGGGATCTTTCTTTCTTTCGCCGCATGATGGGCACTTGTTTTGCTCTTCATCAATTCTCATGATCAGAGGGGAAAACTCAAAAGGATGCTCGGAAAACGGTTTAAGGCAGGGGAGTTTAGGAAGTGATTTGGTCGTGTGGAATATGGTTTCAAAAGGAAAAACCATATTAAAGACTCATTGCGTAGAAAAAGGGAGAAAAATGATGTCCGAACTATTTGCTAAACAAGAGGCTGTCTTAAATTTAGTTAATTAGATCATTTGAGTAGTAACATGTATGGTCAGGGATAAACATTTGAACACTTCCATGCCTCGTTTTTTTCAAGTCTCTTGGTCAAAAAGATCATATAAATCAAAATTTTAATAGAATTCATAAATTAAAAAAGTTTTTGCATTCCAAATTGATCCAAACTATACTACTTTAACCATTAAATGGAAGGCCAATCCCCTAATATTAAAAGTTTCCTCTCCCATTTAATAATTCTTATTTTACAGTCTCATACAATCTAAACTACAAAATAAAAATCTCTTCATAAATTATAATATAAGTCATAATTTTGGTGAATATCACAAATCAACTCAAGCTAGTGTCTCAATAAGCTTCAAGAACAAGTTTGAGCGTTGAGTCTAGTGTAAAAAGATCTTAGTAGCATCAAATATACCGAAGAGACAAATTTTGGTAAAATACACATTGATGCCAGCTGGGAAGAAAAGGGAAATGGCGATATGTTTCTCTACAGACATATGGCGACTAGATTCTTACAATGCAACCACTCAGATCCCAGCTTTCGTCTTCAGTTGCACTGTCTGTATGAACTTTTAAGTTCATGCCACAAACAAAATAATGTGTCGTAAGCATCTTCATCACGGAAATTACGGTTTCCATTCCGCGTGACATTTACAAGGGTCTTCAACCACTCTTCATGGAGAGTTGAGAACTCTGATCTCTGTTCACTTGACCTGAAGCTTTCTGCTATTGATCTTTTCATGGTTTGTCCAGCCCTTGAAGCAGTTTTAACTACCTGTTCTGGGATCCCAGCCATGACTGCCACCTGCAGACCATAACTCTCTGGACAAGCACCAGGAGCAAGCCGATATAGAAAAACTAGCTCCGGCTCACCTTTAGAACTTTCAGATTCTGATTTGAAAGTGCAGGCCATGTGTTGCAGTATAACATGTGGATGAGATGCAAATTCCTTTGTGAGTGGGTGATAATGTGTGGCAAATAGTAACCGGCAGTTGACCTTTTCAATAAGATGACGGAACACCTAGAGAAGAATTAACAGTTGGTTAATTAAAAAAGATGTTGAATGAAATAAATTAAATGAGGGGTAGCAGATAAATTAGCTTCGAAAGGAATGGTGAACAAAAAATAAGCAACAAATTAATAGGAAAGGAATTCTAGATCATTTTCAATTCAACCTGCTAGTTCAGACAGAAGGTACCACCCCAATTATCTGTCCATGCAACATTCATGTGGAAATATCGAAAAAAATGCCAATTTTTAGAATAAAATAACAGGAAATCACTTTAATTGAAAAGTCTACAACATATGGCAAGATCATAAATGACAGGATAAAAGAACTAAATCCATGCGTGGTTCCAAGTTGGTGCTCACTAACTTCAAAACCTTAATTCTAGGGTCAAGGTTAGGGAGTCCAAATCCCTAAAATACCTAAGCACTTTCCTTGCCAATCAAAGAAAAAAAAGGAAAAATCCATTCTTTGTTTTGTTGGTAACAAGCACTACTCAGTCGAATGACCAGTGCATCCTAAATGAAAGTATTGGAATTATACATGCCTGGGCGCTGCCAGCCATGAGCTTCCAACAGATATAGGATGAGAGCACTGATCTTTCAATGGACCAAAAAAAAGATGAAAATACAATGCAGCTAAATCTGTCAGATTCAGAAAAGAAGCACCAAAACATATTTTGCTTAAAAACTAATGCTGCATATTAAGCTCACTTTGAGAGGAAATGATAACCATAAACAAAATTCCCTAGTAGACTTGCAGTGGAATACTAATCCTATGCTCTATATATATATATATTGGCAATCAAGTTTTTGCTATACTGAAGTTGTAAATTTGCAATCCACTGGAAAAAGAAGGTTGGAATCTTTTGGCTTAAAACTACTGCTGCGCATATAAGCTCATTTTGAGAGGAAATTGAAAACATAAACATAAATCCCTAGACTTGCAGTGGAATACTAATTCTATGCTATACACATGGGCAATCAATTCTATGCTATATTTCAGTTGCAAATTTGTAATAGACTGGAAAAGAAGGTTGTAATCTCACAGCATATGCAATAGCATATCCATCAAAAGTGCTTGTTCCTCGGCCTAGTTCATCAAGAAGAACAAGTGAATCTTGAGTGGCATTTTGAAGAACTGATGCAGTTTCTGAGCACTCAATGAGGAAGGTACCTACAAAAGTTCAATCCAACAATCAAACTTTGCAACTTGAGTATATGCACACAGACACTGCTATCTGAGTCTATCCAGACATTGACACATTCTACATTTGATCTTACCCAAAAGGCCAAGAAAGGTATGGCATTGACACATTCTTCCACTTTTTTCTTCCACAAGCTCCAATTTGTGTTGCATTACAGATGCCCCAATTCAAAACCAGTTGTAGCATCTATACTTATTAGTTAAAGCTAATTGGCACTAATGGTAATGGAGACCACTAGCCATTGATAGACAAAGGCATACTGAAAATCATTGTGTGGGAAAACCAAACTTATAACTATAAATAAGCATTCGATGTCTAGTTATATACTCACAAACAGTCACAAACATTAAACAAATCAGCATTTTGTCACACAAACAATGAATGAAGTTATATCATCAGCTGGTTATATTTCACAATTCACATGATATTACATATTGACAAGTCTTGTTCAAGAACCTAATTATATTTTCATTTCCAAACATATTTTTTATGTAAATTGTCTTCAATAAATCCTGCTTTATCTTTGTATGGGAGTTATTCAAATATTAAACCTTGCTTTCTCATCATTATTAACTTTACTAAAGACGCAGCTGGGGCTTTGCTTTTCTTGATATTATGTGGTAAATTTCTATTGAACCATATTTGATGATTTTTGTGTCCATTATACCTTTTAGTAGTTATATATTTATTACATCATGGTGAAATTTTCATCTTTATGATCCATACTTCAACAAAGTCAAAGTTTGGGCATCAAATTGGAAGCATGAAACAAATTTGGAGTGCCAGAACAAATCAAATTCTAATCCAAAAACTGTTGGTTAGTAAAGATAACTTACTCTCCCCGGTCATGATTCTATCAACAGCACCAAGCCTTGTGAAGATTATATCCACCAGTGAGATAATACACATTTCACAGGGCACATAACACCCCAACTGCATAATAAAGAGTTAAAACAGAAGGGTTATTCTGCTGAGGATCAATACTAATATCAGAACATCCTGATGATGCATAGTTTATGCAAGCAACTTTTTAACCCACTTATACAAGCTCCTAGGTTCCAGAGAGAAACAAACCTGGGCGAGAATAACAGCTAAACATGTAGCACGCAGAAGAGTTGATTTTCCACCCATATTTGGACCAGTCAATAACAAAGTACGAGCATGATACCCATCAGCATCCTCACCCTCGCCAAGGAAAATGTCATTTGGGACAGGCAGCCCCCCATTCTCCCCTAGTGCAAATGGATGCCAAAGTCCTTTAATTTTAAGTATTGGTCCTCTAGCCATTTGGTTCAAAGTTATGGTTTTTGATTGAGGTAAGATAACAGGTCTTGACATATCCCCAGATGAAAAACTTGCAGTCACTGCAAATGATCTCAATACATCAATGCAATTTAGGGCTTGAATAACTTCAGACCATTGAGTCGCCTTCTCAATAAATAATTCAATCAGTATTGGAAGCCTTTCAGCATCTGTATCTGCTAATTCGTGATTCTGGCAGGCATCATGTCAGTTATACATCCAGAGATAAGTACAAACATATAAAAAGAAAATTTTATAGCTTTAAGCAAATTGGTTTCTGAGAAGCGTAAACTTTTAACTAGTCAAATGCTTATATTGCATTCAGGAAGCTAGCAGTGCTTGGGACTGCATGAGGAGAAATTTATTCGCCAAAACAGCCAAAGTATCCAAGATCTCTTTCAAATATAGAATTGAAAAAACTACTATAAAATTTGACAAATCTAATTACTGAGAAAAAAAAAAGGTAGAGCAACAAGAAAATCTATAAATTGTAACTTATTGTTAGCTTATAGTGATATACTTGGTAAAAGGAGTGTGAAACTTGAAACATGCAATGTCCAGAAAGAGAATCGAAGAAAAGGAAGCTTCTCAAACAGTTCATTAAGGTAATGTATTAGAAAGCACACAGACCTGGTAATTGGGGAAGTCACTCTCTATGGCTGCTTCAAATTGAGCAAGAAATTTATCAAGCCCATTGCTACCACTTAACATTGGAAGTCTGAAAACTTTTGATAATCGAGTTATTATATGTTCTTCCTTCTGTAATAATGTTAATAAATCTATTCCAACCCTGAGACCTTTCACAAGGGTCCCAAATGCTTTCACCTGCAAAACAGTAAATCATATAAACATAGAAGTGAATCAAAAGAAAATTCTAGTAACCAGAAGACAAATACTATTCATTAATTTGTAATCCAAAATTGGGGATTTAACTTAACAGTGGATTTTGTGCAGAAAATGGACTGAATGGTCTGCGGAACACAAACCTTAACTACATGAAAATAAAGGAGCAGTGGCAAGGAGAACAAAGAATACAGGGGAAAATAAGGGGGAACAAGAAGGGGAGAAGAAAGAGGGAGGGAAGGAGTCTGCCAGTTTTTCCCAACTCCAGTAGCAGAAAAGCAAAAGTTGTCAATGATGAACTAAACTTTTCTTATAGAAAGATAATAGATTAAATTTATGAAATAAGAAGAAATTTCATCTGACCCATTTTATGACCCTAATATAAAATATATAAATTTTAACTGTGTGAATATCTATGGGTAAGAATAAGAATTTTTTAATTTTCTTTCAAAGTAACTAGAATCGGATTTTTCTGACCAGTCACCCATTAGGGGAAAAAAAGAAGAAAAAAAGAAGCAAATGCTGTTGTATGAAAAGTTGTGGCAAAAGCTTTTAGGGAAGAAGCAGATTTTCAATCAACAAAACAATCATAAAATTGTTAATAGTGAACAAGGGCGCTTCTAAACAATTCACAAGTGAAATTATTAAGAAAAGAATAGCTATTCCCCTTTTGAAATGATATGGCATACAAGAAAATGTAGTAAGGCATAGACAAGACTCACTCGTTGCTTCAATACTTTCTTTCCAACTAATGGTAGAATGAGAGAAACTGATGACTGAATGCTAGCCTTAATACGTCCAAGCAACCTTTCTAAGTCTGGAAGTTTGCGAAGATATTGAGCAATAAGTGACATAATTTCTGAATGACCCTTAAAATCCTCAACAACATCAAGCCTGCTGTTAATTCTATCAACATCCTTCAGTGGATGGCATATCCAGCTCCTTAAAAGCCGTTTGCCAGATGAGGTTACACAGCTATCAAGATACTTGTACAATGTACCTGTAAATCAATATAGGCTTTTGAGGATTATGTAAATAAGAATCAGTGAACAATATGGCAATGTCTCACCACATTTTATCTTAGAGCTACTGAAACAACAATACTTGCCTGACAAGCCTCCATCAGCACTATTACTGAAAATCTCAAGATTTACCAATGTCTGTCCATCCATTCTGAGGCAACCACTATAAACGTGGTATGGTAAAATATCCCCATTTCGTAAAGTGTCATCTAACTGTGAAAATGTAGTTTGCCAATCATGTAAACAAGTCAGGTAGAAATGCATACTACATCTACTTATCTGTGTGTGCATTTATTTACATATATGCCATCTAACTGCATGCAAGCAAAATGCATCAATCATGTAACATCACCAGCAGTGAGTGTATACAATGTGCCATACATTTGACATGGGCACTTTTAATAATGGGGAGAAAAAGTCTGCTAGCTCATGTCACATGTGCACTTAGGTATGACAGCAAGCTTTGACTAACTAGAAGAGTTTTAGCAAGCTTACCATCAACCTAGATAGATGACCAATTAATCCACCAAGGGCACATGAGGCAACATCCTGGTGCATAACACCATCAATAGCATGAATCCACAAACTAGAAGACCCCTTAAAGTATCCTTTTGACTGAATCATATTTCTAACTTCAGATGGATCCAACAAATCAGTAACTGAGAGTGCAGGAGTCAATTGCACTGCTGATGATCCTATGAGATAAACAAAAAGAGGTAAATGGTTTTACTAATCATTATAAAGATGAATTTAAACAATTAAAGCCAAATAATTCTGCTTTAAATAAATAAACAAAATGCAATTATCCACCAAGCATGGCAATGCAGTTCATGTCTAGATGCCATCAATGCAGACTGTTGGAGAAAAAAGACAGACATCATCTTTATCATGCAGACGACTATTCAATAAATCAGATGTCATTTAGTGCCAATTTTTAGTTCAGAAAAGAAACTTAAGAATCTGACTGCAATGCAAGAGCAATTTGTTCAACATGAAATAGCACAATACAGACAAAACTTTTCTACTCTTCTTATCACAAGCTGATGCAATGCTCACCTGTTAGTGAGTACTTTCTAAGTGCTTTCTGGGCTTCTCTGGACAGCCCTACAATAATTGAATATTCAAATATCAGATGTAAGATTTTCAACATAACTCAGCTGAAAAGAAGAAGAAGAGAGAGGTAACCTCTACTTTCATATATGATTTCCTTAGGTGACACCTAAAATAAATTTCATCCAGAAAATAAGAGCATAAATTTCCAAATGCACAAAGTAAAATGTAGTAAGATACAAGAACACACTTCTGCCTACTACAGAAAACAAAAAGTCAGAACACATACTTGCATCAATAAAGCTCCCAGAGCAGCACAAGAAGCATCATCACTGATGGAACCAACCCAAAATTTTAAAGCAGCACAATCAACGAAAGCAAAGCCATAGACAGTTGAACCATTACCCACCCCACAGCTTCCCTGCTGGCAAAAAAAGAATGCAAGTCATAATATAAACAAATATTTACATTCACTGAGAAGAACCTTATAAGATTAAAAGCACAAGCTGCAGCCAGCAATAAATTCCAAAAACAGAAAATATCTAGAGAGTTTAAAATCCAGGAGAACACAGTACCATCAACCACCAGCTAGACTGAGCTTTGAAGAGATAAAATACAGATTTGTAATAGATTTCATTTCAAGGAGGGTAGAAAGACGTAAAATCTTCAGAATTCAAGCACATGTGTATTTGTTAATTCAAGAGAGAGTAATCCAGCAAGTATACAACAGAACTTCAATCACCAGACACTGCAAACAGACATCCAGAACACTAAAGAACATAAATAAAAACACAAACAAACCTCCTTAATGGCAAGAAGATGAACAGCATCAGGCCCAATGTTGCCATCAACTGAGGTTGAAGGTGTGATTACTTGAACTAACTTCCTAGGAATGACCTGAAAATCAAATACTGTGAATCAAAGAAAATAGGGAATTACACAAATAATGATGGTATATGATTAAGGCATGCTGTGAGAAAATTCACAAACCACCAAAGGGAGCGCTACTTTTGTGGATGCATTTTTATTTAAGAATAACACAGGAATTTTGAAAGATAAACCAGAACGATGAAGCTCAATGACTCCTGAATTTCACCATATTAAATTGATAAGAGAAAAGAAAAAGGTATAAGTTGTAAATAACACAACTTTAGCAATGTTGCTGTTAAGTATCACTTGTTTGCCTATCATAAGAAAAATTAATATATGATTTTTATCACATTTAAATCACATAAGCATACATTAAGTCAAAAGGGGCTGACAATGGCAACATAAAAAAGTAGATGAATGAGGATAAAAAAACACAGTTCAAAACATACAATAAAAAAACTTACAGAATTTGAGCCTCTAGCTTTTGCTTGCTGGGATGTCTCCAGCTGCTCTATGCGTCCAACTTTGTAGCTTCAAAATGAACATAAAAAGTCAAGCACAGTAAATTAAATCTAGGAAAACCGAAACCAATTAAGTAGGTAACAGAGATTCAGAGACAACATTCAAAAAATGATCAGGCAAGCAAGTATACTGATCATAATTGCCTCTCATGCATTCTCTCCCACCACACATCTCTCTTTCTCCATTTTCCAGAAATACTTAAAACAGAAATTTCATTTTTCACAGCACTCTCCTCCCAAGAATTTTAACATTGTGTTGCGGACAACAAAGGAGAACAAAGGAAATCCTCACCATTCTTAAGAAATAATACCTACAGTACTTACCCACGAGCAACTAGCTTCTGAACAGCATCATCAATTCCACTTTCAGAAATACCAACCTGAACAAAACAGATAACAAGGCATTATCATATGTCACATGTTTATCAATCTCCTTAAGAGGCCAGTATACTGATATAGTTTACCAATACGTGAGATGTTTCAAGTTATACTCACCTGACGACATTTGCCCACACCGCTTATGGTCATTTTCCAATCAAGTTCTTTATGACCAATTTCAGCATCTAGTTCATAGAGTTCATAGAATTTGCCCTATATGATCATTGAATCAGCCAATAAGGTCCACATAATTGCATAAAGTAGAAAAATACTGTTCAACTGAATAGAACGAAAAGCAATGCATGATATTTCAGAACCATACTCTGCATGTTTACATTTTACTTATAAGCACATAAAAGGAGGGTTAACATGCTAAACAAATACATAATTCCATAATAAAGAACTTGTCAATTGAAAAGGATGAAAGATAGTTAGACAATTTCTGACATATATTTCAAATTTTGTGTCTGACTAATTTATCCAGATAAGGATAACTTACAGTTTTACAAAACCAAAACCCAAGAGATGATACATGGAAGCATAATAAATCCAAATACGTTATCTTTAGAAGTGATTTTGTTCAGGGTTCCTCTCCATTCCAGCATGATCACAGAAAAAGTGTGCTAGCAACTTCTTAACATCCATCATTTAAAATATAAGGTGTACAAGTTTTTTTTTTTTTTTTTCTCCCATAAAAGAAAAGAGAAAACCTCATCAATGCATGACGTAATTCAATGGATGTGGATTTTAGTCAGTACAAAACAATTCAATGGAAACTAAAAAAATCCTAAAGATATAGAAAGAATTGAACGTGATGCAAGAATAACTAACCACTTTAAAGAAAAGCACAACATCCATATATTGGCATTTAATAGTCCAATATTGTTTCTGGGACGCTGACATTTTCTTTAGAGCATCAGGAGGTACATAAAGTGACCTCTTGTCGTAAAGAGGATCACTAGGCCTTTTTCCTTTAGCATCCTTGATCCAAGATGGCTCAAGCCATTCAAACTTGCTAGTAGTATCTGTTTCATTCCCACGGTTCTTTTCAACCAAAGGATCCAACAGAAGTTTCAGCCTTTTAGTGGAATCAAGGAAAGGAGATTTGTCATCCCTAAACTTTGAACTTTCCTCTAGGGGCCGCTTCAGACAAGTAACCGGTGTTTCTGGCCCTAAAATATCATCATTGCTCTCAATATCTAAAACAGATCTTTGATCAACTGTCTTCTTGAAACTCAGAAGGTTACCTTCTTCAGGCTTATGAGAAGCCACATCCTGTTTCAACAAATCTTTGACGTCCCCACATTTACGAGGTACCGAGCAAACATTTGAAGTACCTCCACACCCATGCTTCCTGCAAGTATGAATGCTAACCATTGATTCAATCATGGAGCTCAAAATATAATATATATGACATTGAAAACTATTTAATTCAACGCAAGTGCATACAATAGTCACTACTCATACATTTCATGAACTTTAAATCTTCTAATCTTTTTAATTGTAGTTTTGGTTAGTCAATTAAGACTTGAGAATAAAATACAAACAGCACAGATTAATCTGGATGAAAAAAGTTCTTGAAATTTAAATTTGTAAATTAATTCCTATTGTGTAACTGTTTGCTAGGCCACATTGCAGCGAAACATCATCAACCTAATTCTTACATCATTCCAGGCCATTAAAGTTTCATCTTCTCAAAAATCACACAGAAGATAAGATAAATCACAAAACTCCGCTCAAGATAGAAATTATTATAAACAGATTTAAACTATTAAGGCATATCCAAATAATTATAATAATCTTGTTAAAATGAATCTTAGGAATCTTCAGAAATGGAAAACAAATGGAACTAACTAATTAAAAGTTGACATTGCATTACTTCTGACTTGTATTTGCCTTTTCATCAACCCTCACGAACTTATGCATGATACTCGAGAATAGTGAACCTCCGTTGTCCCCATCCCCCGAGTACGTCGCCGGCAGAACCTGACGTGGCACCTTCTCCGGCGGAGTGTCCGTTCCTCTAACCTCCACAGACGAGTCAGAGGTACTCTGATCGTTGAGCTCTTTCGCGATGGCGCCGCCGCTTCCATTCTGTTGCTTCGCCGGACACTGAGAAATCACTTGGCCCTTCTTCTTCGTTCCTCCGGCGGCGTTTGCACTCGCCGCCGAGGGTTTCTGAAAGAACGAGAGAATCGATTTCTGCCGCTGCATTTTCAGAGTTGGGAATAAAGAGCTGCGAGAAGGGGTAGTGGAGTATTTATCAACTATTATTGTATTTATTAAGCAAATTATTGGCGCCAATTTTCGCCTTTCGATTTCCGCAATATCAAAAATGGCGGACAAGGGAAGGGACTTTCACTTCCTCAGATTTTACTGTGTTCTCCGAGACTGAATCTCGACCGTCTGATTTGACCGCTCAGTCTGAATCGTGGGATTAAGGAGATATTTGGAGCACTTTTCCTAATAATAATAATAATAATAATAAAAAGAAAATCAACATCTGATGCTAATGAGAAGACTCCGGTTACTTAAATCAGATCCGAAGTTTAAGTTTTAAAAAAAAAATTAAAAGAATTTTTTGTATGTGATTATTGGATGTCAGATTGTTAATAAAAAACCAAAAAAAAAA